AAGTGTTCTGAGTTCGGACCTAACCATCAGGTCACTTAACACTAGCAGTTTAACCATAGGTACCACAAAAATATTAAACCGAAATACTTCGCTCGGTAGTCGGGTGTGTGAGTGTATACATATACAGTATGTATGTATCGTCACGGCGCTTCCTGTCGAAGTAGCTCAGTGTTATGTAAACACAGGCCAGTGCACAGCGCATCGCCGCCGCAGACAGATCATATGACAATCTTTTAGTGTGGGAGAGCCATGCTTCGGCACTAATGTGTCGGCTCGACCGGAGTGATACCACGGTCTCACAGAAAATCGGCGTGAAACAACCACAGCGTTGTGTTTCACCGGTGGCCATCCTTGCCCGTCCCTCACCCCTTCCCATCCTTACCCATTCCCCTCCTCTGATGTTGCGGGTTTCCATGGGCAGCCCTGATTGCTTACTATCAGGTAATCCGTAAGCTGGTTTGCCGACCTTTCCCATAAATAAAATTTTTATCACTTTTTTACAAAAGTTATAATCGTGAAAGCAGTAGTGACACTAGCAGGTCGCCGCGTGGCCGCGTGACATAATACAACATAATATACAATATTATAATGATCACTAGGTACTTGTATTATAGTATTCATCATCATCATCAGCCTGTTGTCGTCCACTGCTGGACATAGGCCTCCCCAATAGTACGCCACTGAGCTCGATGTTCAGCTTTTCTCATCCAACCACTGCCAGTCTTACGGATATCGTCAGTCCACCTAGCTGGAGGGCACCCTACACTACGTTTGCCTAGACGTGGTCTCCACTCTAGAACATGTTTACTCCAACGGTCATCGGTTCTTCGACAGATAACATCCATCTGTCGAAGAACCGATGACCTTCAAGGTAGTATAAAACAAAGTCGCTTTCTCTGTCCCTATATCCCTATGTATGCTTACATCTTTAAAACTACGCAACGGATTTTGATGCGGTTTTTTTATAGTTAAAGCGATTGTTGAAGAGGAATGTTTATATGTATGTATACTAAAATATTGTAAAAATGTATGTTTATGTATGTAATCCCGGCCGGCTCACTGTCCCAGCTGCTCGCGTGGCGGCCGGGGACGTCCTTCACAATGTCAGTGTCGTCATCTGTGCATTATTTATACACTGCCGAATGTGCAGAGCGTGTGTGTTAACACACAAAATAATAACAATAACAATTATTATAAGTATACATATAAAAACAATAACAAGAAATAAATTTGATGAATCCAAACTAATATTAATAAATGCGAAAGTAACTCTGTCTGTCTGTTTTTCTTTTCTTATCGCCTAAACTACTAGCCGATTTCTGTGAAATTTGCTACAGATATAGTTTTGAACTTGAGAAAGAACCTAGGATAGTTTTCATCCCCAAAATGCAGCGGGAGCGAGAACTTCTTAAAAATCCCGCGTTATCGGGAACTGTGTGGGCTAAATCAAATATCTAAGTGTGGGAGAGTCATGCTTCGGCACGAATGGGTCGGTTCGACCGGAGTGATACCACGGCCTCACAGAAAACCGGCGTGAAACAACCACAGCGTTGTGTTTCGCCGTGTGAGTGAGGTTACCGGAGGCCCAATCCTTCCCCTCCCCCAATCCCTCCTCAATCCCTAAATCTCCAAATCCCTAATCCCTAAAAGCTCGGCAACGCACTCGTAACTCCTCAGTTGCGGGTGTCCATGGGCGGCGCTGATTGCTTACCATCAGGTAATCCGTCTGCTCGTTTGCCGACAAATTAAATAAAAAAAAAAATCTGCTGGAAATCACTATTATATGCGAACCGAGTCGCTGGCAGAAGCTAGTTAAATAATAATTCTAAATATGTAGATCCAGGCGTATAACTATTAAGGCTGGACGATGGCTGGCGATGGTTTTCCTAATAACCTGTTAGTCTAAGCAAAGTTGTGCGACAGGTCTCGACGGAAACAGTACTAACCTACATACCTACTTACATATATGTATATATGCTTGCACTAGACTGGATCCTGGCGACCTTCGCGTCACGTGCCGACCAGGTGTACGCTGCGGCAGTATGATATATATTTGTGAGACTGGTTCTATGTCATTCATGGAAATATCTTCATCATTGCTAAGGGTCTTTGCATTCTTCTTCATGGCTTCCTTTCACTAGACCTTACTCCATTTAGCCGAGTAGTTTCCTCAATGAAAAACATGATTGTGAGTGATTGTTCGCGTGGAATAGTGACTTCCTGCTGATTTTTGTCAAACTATGTCTGTACCAAATTTCACACAAATAGATTCAGCGGTTTATACGCGAAGAAAAGACAGACAGACAGAGTTACTTTCGCATTTATAATATTAGTTTAGCCTAGCTTTTACCCGCGGCTTCACTCCCGTCATTTAACTTCCTACCCGACCCGCACTACCCTACCGTATTCTTATTCTGGTTATAAACTACCTCCCTTTCAATTTTCAACCAAATCGGTTCATTTGTTCTTGAGTTATAAATAGAGGAACTAACATGACTTTCTTTTATATAAATATATGTATAGATTAAATATAATGTGTTACTTTTTCCATCAGTGAAATAATTTTGTCAATCCGTCCAGCGGTTCCAAAGATTACCCCCTACATACAAACTTACAAATTTTACCTCTTTATAATATTGGTATAGACTTGCATTTATGCTTATGACAGTAGTATGTGTATAAAATACTTTTGATGTTCAGTTAAAAGTGACCCAAAGTCTACATCCAGCGTCACATCAAACATGTCAGAACCCATAGGATTATACTGATAATTCCGCAGTCTTGTGGCAGACTTGGCGCAAATTACATAAAGTCTAGCTGGTAGAAGAATAGCCGCTATGTATCAGAAACATTTTTATTAAGAACGTAACTAAACGACATAAGTTTATCGAGAATTTATGTGTCAAGGTGATAAAAAAGGCTTTTTACGTAGTGACGAAGAGGACGATTCGTAGCCTCGTAGCGGACGTACATTGGTAGCTACGTAGCTAGAGTAATTTCGGATGCCCCTAGCGTAACAGATATCTTTATATATAAAAATTTCGTGTCATGTGTTTGTCCGCGATGGACTCCTAAACTACTAAACCGATTTTAAATTTGTGTTCCGTGCATTTTGATCCAACTTGAAAGATAGGATAGCTTACATCTCAATTTATAGTCACAATATTATTTACCTTAGCCACAGCAACGCGTGGCTGGGTCTGTTAGTATTATTATATTTATTTGAAGAAATAATTTTCTTTGTGTCCTTGCTAACTGTACTGTTTCGTAGCAAAAGTATTTTTGTCAGTTTCGTAGCAGACGTTTCGTAGCCTCGTAGCAGAATATTTTGGCAGACTCCGTAGCAGGCAGATAATTCGTAGCACCGTAGCAAAATTTTCGTAGTCTCCCGGCTGCGATTTTCGTAGCCTGAAAACTTTAACAATTTGGCAGTCTAGTTCTTTGAAATAAAGGTCACGCTGTAAGCACTACAATAAGGGCCCGTCACGCGACATTCACGTCACTGGCGCGTGGCGTTACGTGGAAGGTAATCTCATCAGGCCCTCGATGAGTGGCTCAGTGCCGACGTCACGACACGGTCCGGCTTCCGACCTTGACATCGGCAGCGCAGCGGGATTACAGTCACGTAATATGAAACCTTAGCGAGTTTGGAACATTCTTTGCTATCCGCAATTCTGCATTTTAGAGATTTTTATTGTAAAAGTATCAGCTGTGTGCGTTTTGAATATCAACATAAAACAGCAATTGTCAAAAATAAAGTACAACTGATTTAATACATGATGATCAAATGATGTCGTGCCCTAAGGTTAAGACGCCAGCTTCTCAGACATGGAGTGCGGATTTGTTACCTGACAAGTACCAATGTGACTTTTCCGAAATGATATGTACTTTCTACAATTATTTAGTCACGGTGAAGGAAAACTTCGTGAAGAGACCTTTTTTTTATCGGGGGAAAATTATCAAATGACTTCTCCCGCCCAGGGTTAGGCAAGAGAGAGTGTCAGACTCTTACTGACTAAAAACCCCCGTTCCTTCTCCTGCTCTGGGCCGCGGTTGTGAAGAAACCTTGATTTATAGTGTCTAATTATAAGTTTGAAATCGTCAATCCGCCTAAAGCAAGCGTTTTAATTAATGTAGAAAATTGAAGATTGGGTCATCACCAATCTCCAATTTTCTGCATTCATCATTAGTGTGGGAGAGCCATGCTTCGGCACGAATGGGTCGGCTCGACCGGAGTGATACCACGGCCTTACAGAAAACCGGCGTGAAACAACCACAGCGTTGTGTTTCGCCGTGTGAGTGAGGTTACCGGAGGCCCAATCCTTCCCCTTCCCGGACCCTTCCCCAATCCCTAAATCTCCAAATCCCTAATCCCTAAAAGGTCGGCAACGCACTCGTAACTCCTCCGTTGCGGGTGTCCATGGGCGGCGTTGATTGCTTACCATCAGGTAATCCGTCTGCTCGTTTGCCGACTTATTACATAAAAAAAAAAAAATCGGTAACCTTACTCACACGGCGAAACACAACGCTGTGGTTCACTTTTTGATCGGCTCGACCGGAGTCGGGTCGTTAAAAAAGTCAGGTGAAAACCTCTGTTAAATTGTTTTGTGATTGTGTAGCAATAAGCATAACATTAACTAATTCATTTTGTTATTATTCTACAACATGTGGGACATTGGTCTACCGCACATCGCGTGTTGTCGCTGTGTTTGTAACATACAATCAATGTATGTATGTGTGTGTGTTTGTAGATAGCAAACAAAGTCAGGAAAACGAGCAGACGGATTACCTGATGGTAAGCAATCAGCGCCGCCCATGGAACACTCGTAATACCAAAGGAGTTACTACAAGTGTGTAATGGCGTAGCGCACTTGTAGTAACTCCTTTGGTATTACGAAAATCCAGTCGGGCGGCGCTGATTGCTTACCATCAGGTAATCCGTCAGCTAAATTTTGTGTACATATAACATGTTTTTATCCAATAAAATTATTTGATTGCAGACGCTGGTGTGTGTCGTGCGTATGGAGCTCCGCCAGTGTATTGCTGCACCGGCTGCTGACCGCGCCGCTCCCCCAGCTCCCCGGCGCCGGGCCCCCGCCCTCGGTCGGGCCCCAAACCGCGACCGGGCCCCGCACGCGCCGCGCCGGCACCGACCACCTGCACCCCGAGCCGCGCGTTGAGTGCGTCGAGCTTTACACCCCGCCCGCGCATGCGCATCAACTCGATGTCATCTTTGTTCATGGACTATACGGTGTGTAAATCATCTTCAGCCTATACGTGCCAACTGCTGGGTACAGGCCTCTTCTCACACGGAGAAAGTTTGAGCATTAAGCGCTACGCTCGCTCAAGACAGATTGGCGATTTCAAATTTGTAATTTAAAATTATAAGTCCAGGTTTCCACATGTAATCATAGAAAGTACTCGGAAAGTTACATTGGTACATGCTAGGTTACGAACCCGCATCCTCAATGAGAAGCAGGCGCCCCGTGTATCGACAAATGTATTATGTTGTAGGTCATTTAAGTGAAGATAATAATGTCTGTGTTCTGCAGGGTCGCTGGGCAACACGTGGCGTCAGGGCGAGTGGCGCACCAAATACAAATTGGACCCCACCAGGGTCCCGCTCCGCAACCACGAGGCGGCGCCGTGCTCGTGCACGCAGGGCGCACAGCTCGGCGCCCAGCACAGCTCGCAGCTCGCTGCGTACGAGAGCAAGCTGCACGAGCTGTACAAGGAGGCGATGCGCGGCGACCACTACGAGGCGCAGGCTAAATTCGTGACCCAGTTGTACCACGGCGACTGCCAGCCGGCCAGTGGCGCCCCCGCCGCGCCCAGCGAGTGCCGGTGCGTGGGGGGCGCGGGGGCGCGGCGCTGCCAGGCCGGCTGCGGCTGTATATGCGACGCGTGCTACTCGCAGTGCTGGCCGCGCGACTGGATCAAGGAGGACTTCCCCGGGGCGCGCGTCATCTCCGTCAACTACACCAGCGACCCCTACCTGTGGCGCCCTCTCTGGGTCAAAGGGAACAAGAGGTAACGCACACAAGCAGGGACCGCTGTCGGTGTGACTGTGTAACACGGGCTGAGTGTATGTGTGTGTGCAGGCTGAGGCTGCACGAGCGCGCCGAGCAGATGACGCAGCAGCTGCTGGCGCTGGGCGTGGGGGGGCGCCCCATCGTCTGGGTCGGACACTCCAAGGGGGGGCTCTTCATCAAACAGATATACTGCGATGGTGAGATACTTGATATTTTTCAGTTTCAGCTTCTAGTTCCACTTCAAGAAAATTAAATTACAACTTTTTTTGAAGAACTGTAGACTACTTCTCCCTCTTGTTACAAGCAATGAAAAATAAATAGTTGTATTATTAAGTTTAAGAAGATGACGCTTGACTTTATTCATGTTGCCAACAACGTGGGCTCCCCCACATTACTATAAAACATATATTTCGCAGCGTATGAAGCTCACCTCAAGGTCAGCGGGGGGGAGGAGGGTGCCCACCAGGACAACATCACTAACAACAACGCTACGGAGGCGGGGCCCGGCACTCAGTGCTGTCGGCACGCAGGGTCCCTGCTGGACACGTACGAGCGGGGCCCGGCCGCGGGGGGCCCGACCACAGGGAGCCCGCGGGGCCCGCGCGACACGCTGCGCAGTATCAGCCACATGACTGCGCTCCGACACAACCACAACTCGGGTGAGCACGATGCACCCGATGTCCCGCACACACTCGACGACAACGGCAACCCGCCGCCCGCCGTCGATAGCTCGCAGTGCGGCGAGCTCGCCGGGGGGAGCGCGGGGGATGAGGGCAAGGAGCGCACTGTCGACCTGCCTCCAAGTGACGAAGGTATGTCTTCTATACCTGATATATTTTTACCGACTTCCAAAAAGGAGGATGGTTCTCAATTCGACCGTATATATGCTTTTATTATTTTTTTCAATAAATACAATAAGACACCGCGACCCGGCCTACAGCAGGAGAAAGAACGGGGAGGCTTTAGTCAATCTTCCTGGGCCGAAGAAGTCATTTGATTTTCCCCTTACAAAAAAGGAGTTACACATACAGAATTAGTATTAGTTGTTATAGTTTCTGCTATTTTCCTTCTCGGGATCCAACCGACAGTCATACAGTCATGTCCTTGAGTTGCTTGAGCTTCAGTGTTTCAGTATTTCCATAGTTAACTATATTATAGATTCTGCTGTACAGTAGTTGCAGTGGTTTCGGAGGCCTACGTTGTTATGTATGCCATGTCTGCGTTACAGTGCGGCGCGCGCGGCTGTGGTCGTCGTCGTCCGCGTTCATGTTCTACTCGGTGCCGCACCGCGGGTCGTCGCTGGCGGACATCAAGGCGCCGCTGACGGCGCGCAGCGTGGAGCTGCAGGAGATCGCGGCCGACTGCGCGCTGCTGCGGGCGCTGCAGGCGCGCTGGCTGGCCGCCGCCGGCGCCGCGCCCGCCGCGGACGGTCGCGCCGCGCCCCGCGTCCGCAGCCTCGTCGAGACCTGCCGCACGCTCATGTCCGTGCTCTGGCTGCGCATCGTCAGCGCCGAGTCCGCGGACGCGGGCGTGGGCTCGCTGCTGGGCGTGGCCGTGGACCACCGCGAGATCTGCAAGCCCAGCAGTCGCGCCTGTCCGCTCTACACCGAGCTCACGCAGCTCATCCGCGCCGCGCTGCATACATGCCACTGCCGCTAGTATTGCCACCCACCGAGGCACTCAGGGAGAATACTAGACCAAACACTCACTAAACTTTACAAATTATCAATCAGACTTAGTAACCTATCAGGGGAAACCTTCTTACTCATTACATGTTCATTTCTAGTTCCATTATTATAAATCAACTAGCGACCCGCTCCTACTTTGCACGGTTGCAATGCTGATACTAAATTAATCCACTATTTAATGGATATTATTATACATATAAACCTTTCTCTTCAATCACTCTATCTATTAAAAAAGCGCATCAAAATCCGTTGCGTAGTTTTAAAGATTTAAGCGTACATAGGGATATAGGGACAGAGAAAGCGACTGTTTTATACTATGTAGTGATATATGAATTCCATTTAAATGTGCCAATACTCTCCTTCGACAGACACGTTACTAAGTCTGGCTGCTTTTATTAACGCGAGTTCCTAAGTCCGACTCTCAAGTAGATCAAAGTATTATTCCCAAAGTCTGGACTTATTAATTTAAAATTTAGATATTTATAAAAAAGGAAATTTCTCTCTCTGTGCCATTACCATAGTGGTGGGGTATACAGTGGTAGTGTTGTGCCACAGTGACGACCATAGACTACAGACTGAGTGACATTAGTAACTTATAAAGTGAATTTAGACGTATTGTCTATGGATAAATGCCAGTTCGCACGGAACTGGCGGAAGACGTTAGTTTTAAATATTATAATTATTTGACTGTGATGTGAGATGAAGAGAAGGCCTGCCGCAATCATCCGAAACGAATTTTCGAACGCTTACGAAAAAACCGAATCTTTATTAAACCACTTTCGTTTGACGAGATTTCGTTTCGAATTTTTGTATTATGCCTTGAACAATAGTTAAAGAAATAATTATTCCATATTGTGTCGCATTTACTGACGGTTACCTTCGCGTGCTATTTTAATAGAATTATTTTGTTTGTTTGTGATTCCTCTGCTATTGCCGTAGTGGAGCTAGCTAGGAGCTAGTAAGCATAGTGTAGCGTGCGCCGGCGCATGAGATGCGGCGGCGCCATGTTAAGTTTATTGTATCAATAAATAAATATGTTAACAAGTGCCCACATGAGTTTTATTTTTACCTTCCACCCATACTTTTAGTGTTGGAGAGCTATGCTTCGGCACGAACGACCGGAGTGATACTACGGTTTCACAGAATACCGACGTGAAACAACCACAGCGTTGTATTTTGCCGTGTAAGTGAGATTAGTCTCTTAATTAAAAATAATACTACAATTTATTTATGGTATGTGTAGGCAAACGAACATACGTATTACCTGATGGTAGCAATCAGCCACACCTGCAACACCAAAGGATTCACCCATTAATGTCCACTGTTAGACCAGTGACTGGACTACGGGCTTAATAAGGTCCGACTCCAGCAGCGAGAAATTATTTCGCGTGATTCATATTTTCTTGTTCAACGTGTGGTGTAGATATACCTAGGTTTTTATACAGACATCTGTTTGATAATGAATTAAATAAAAGACAGACCACCTGAAACAACAATTGTAGTCTACTCAAAAAATGTAGATGCGGTGGCTGGGTAACTGGCTGTCGTGCATCGTGTCACGGGTACGATTCCCGCCCCGGACAACTCTTTGTGTGATCCAGAAATTGTTCCCGGTCTGGGTGTAATGTGCATGTAAAATTGTGTTTCCCACGACACAGGAGAAAATCCTAATATGGGGCAAAAAAGATGCAATCGTTGGTGCAGTTTATTACGAGCCTATTCATTTTAGCCTTGAAGACACCAAAAGTGGCCTATTTAGATATACACGCACGCATATACCGCCTCCTCGCAATATCTTGGCCGAAGCGTGTCCAGACAAGTGCAGGGCGACATTGTTACAATTCACGTAACCTGAGAACATTAACTGTGGGAGAGCTAGGCTTTGAGATAAATAGGTTTGACCGGAGTGATTCGACAGCTTTACGGAAAACTGCCGTGAAACCTACTACAGCGTTGTGTTTCTACATGTGTGTGAGGTTAGGAGGCCTATTCCCTTTTCCCCTCCCCGAATATCCCGTAATATGGAAACGCACTCGTAACTCGTCTGGTGTTGCGGATGTCCATGGGATTTGCTTACCATCAAGTATTACAACTTATATTACACATAAAAAAGGAATTGACGTGTCGACTGGAGTTACACGACGACCTTACGGAAGTTTACAGAACAAACAATGTGAGGATGGTCACCTGGGGCCTAATTCTCCCCCTTCTGATGTTCAGTTCATTCAATTTAAATCCCTAACTCGTAAAAAGCGGTATCACAATGCACTGCTTGATGTCTACGGCCAGTGCCGATTACTTACCATCAGGTAATCCGTCTGCTTGTTTCCTGTGCTATTCCATCCATGCCACACAATTTTAGCTATCTTACCCAGTGGTATCTAATCTGACGCACTTAGTGTAGAGTCGCGTGTGTCCCGATACTGATACTGCGTCCATTCTACACAAGCTCTTTATCTAGGAATGTGCCGGTGTTCGATAATATGCTACTGGGAACACTCCGTATTTGGGTCAAATACATATAGTGTACTTGAAAGATGTGAGTTTTGCAACTTTTTTATTTTTATCTGTGCTACGATTAGAGCATTAGGTACCTATCTACATAATGTCACTTAAGTGGAATAGGTACTTTAGAGTTCTCTGAATTGGTAGTTGTCTACCCATGACAGTAACAGCAGTAGGTATAATAGTAAAGAACATCAAAAATATTTTACTTCCGAGTTTGTTTCGGCATTACATCTCCAGAGAAGTCAGGAAATGCCTGCTTTATTCACAACAACAGACTGACAGACTTCTATTCTATTTTGACGTTTCAAGAACCTGTTTATGGTTATGTTGGAGTGTTTTGGACTTTGAGTTGCTTCATCTAGATTTGAATACTTATAACGCTGACATGTAGATGTGCTGTTTGCCAGACTTCGTGGCAAGGTAAATAATGAGACTGTAGATGGTTAAGGTCTGTTTATTACTTTAATTGCTGGTGCTTATATACTAAGAAGATGCGTGAGATTTTCAGATTTAGCTATCCTAACAAACGTGCAACAATTAACATGTGTGTCTTATCTCTATCGTATCTAAGTAATGTAGCGACGTGATCGTGCCGCTACATATACTCCCCCCTTTTAAAAATAATTAACATATAAATTGAAAAAAATTAGTATGTACCTAATTATATAATAACTTAACCTTGCTGATAAATTACATCCTATGCGTAATGTAATGTCATTGTTGCTAATTCGAAGGAAATAAAAACTGCTGCCTTTGTTGTGACGGCGGCGGCAGTCGATGAACTATCCACTGCATTTGTGCTGATTGTTTCTGCTGATTGAAAATTTTAAATTCTTGTTATTACGAAGTCGTAATAATTCTTGGTCATCATGCTGACATCTTGCTAAATCAGCATAATTAATCGGTGATGGCACATCAATTTGTTCTATCCGTGACAATGCGTCTGCTACAATATTGTCACGTCCTTCTATATGTTGAATGTTGGTACAATATTGTGAAATAAAATCCAGTTGTCGTATTCGCCGTGGCGTATCATTAGATGACGGTTTTTGGGAAAATGCGTAAGTCAAAGGTCGATGATCTGTAAAGATAGTAAATTCTCTTCCTTCGACTAACCTTTGAAAATGTTTGACTGCCATATATATTCCGAGCAACTCTCTGTCGAATGTCGAGTATTTTTGTTGAGTATCACTTAATTTCTTTGAAAAGAATCCTAATGGTTCCCAATTACGTCCTGACTTCTGCTGCAGAACTGCGCCAACACAGGTCGAACTGGCGTCCGTCATAAGTGCCAAAGGGGCGGTGCGAGAGGGGTGAACTGTTAATACTGCGTTCCTTATATTTTCCTTGGTCCTTTAGTGATAATATGATGCTTAATCTTGTGTTTTGGAGTAGTGTGGAAGGAGGCTGGTTTCGTAATATCCTCGTATTCATTTAATAGTTGAGTAATGCGTGGATTCGTCTCAATGTTAATAGTGCGGATTGTTTGCTGCGTCGATTTGATCAGGGTTGCGGGCGTTGTCAGCTCAGTTACCCTATCTATGAGTTTTCGACCAGCTATATCGACTAATAGCTTATAATGCTCTAAAAAAATCTGCTCCAATAATCGGTTGTGTTACATCGGCGATGACAAAGTTCCATACAAAGTTTCTTCGTAGCCCGAAGTTTAAAGAGAGTGTTTTTTCACCATATGTCTTAATTTTTGTACCATTGGCGGCATAAAGTATACATTGTTCATCTTGTATTAGTGAATGTCTCTGTGGCTTGCTAATAACTGAAATATTTGCTCCCGTGTCAATCAAAAATCTCATACCACTTTTTCGGTCGGTAATAGTGAGGCGGTTGGACGGGTGAATAGCACAGAGTTCCGCCGTTGTCCGTGCTTCAATTAGTTTCCCTGTTTCCTTGAGTTGAGATCCTGTTTCCAATCACAAGGTTGAACACACTTTTGTGCATATTTTTTAAATCTTCCATGGTAAAAACAAAAGTGCCTTCTTTCTCTTGAACTTGACTGTGGTAGGAAATGCCGACGATTGGAATAACTTTGAGTGCTGCGTCGATAGTTTTTTTGACCTTGCTGAATTGCATTTAGTTCCAATTGCATTTCTGCTAACTGTGCTAGTATGCATGACATTGTATCGTCGCCAGATTTGTTTCCGTTTACAGCTGACACCTCTGTACGTGTTGAATTTATTAATATCTTGTCCGCGATCTGGCTCATCTTGTTCACATCTATGTCTTCTGTGACTGCTAGAACCGAAGTCACTGATGGTGGCAGAAGCCTCAACCATAGAAGTTTGATGGTTTCGTCGCTGATATTTCCGTTACTCAGGGTCCGCATCTTGCGCAGAAGATGTGATGGTTTCTGGTCGCCGAGATCCATTTCAGACAATAATTTTTGGAGCTGACGTTGGTCTGATTCCTCATAGCAACTGATTAGGCGTTCTTTGATAGCCTTGTACTTTTCTATTGGCGGTGGGCAAGTAATGAGGTCACTAACCTGTATTATTTCTTCTTTTGGCAGTTTTGCAATGACCGTATAGTACTTGTAATCGTCTCCTTGCTTCTGTGGTGCTACTATGGCTTCTAGTTGCTTAAACCATAATCTGGGTTGGT